CACAGAAGAGTAGCTCAAGCTCCTTTCTTGTTAAGAGTACATCATTTGTTGCTTTGTAGAACAAAAAGAATAAAACCGCTATTTCTGTTTTTTAAAAATTATTTTTGATTTTTTACGTTTAACATAACAATATAAACTTAAATTACACTAAAAAAAGTTTAAAATGAGCAAAAATGAACCAAGAGAACAAAATAAAACAGACAGAGAAAAGGTCAATACAATACAAAATAGTATGTTAATATATACATTCATGATAAACTATCTTATGCATTTGCAATAAGTCAATGAAGGGCTTCCATATTTCTACATAAATATTCATTCAAATGAGGCTAACTGTCGCAGATCTTCCGACCATTACATGAGGGGTGGAGGATGATCATCTTTCCAGGCTTTTAATATAAGTCTTTTTGCCACCACAAGTGCTTCTCAGGATCCAATTTTGTTGACCCTTTGTTAGATCCCATACATCAGGAATATAGTTTAAAAGAATGTGAATATCATGAAATAGCAGGGATTTCTTAATACAAGAACTTCTACTCAAAATAGGTGTATTACCCGGCCATGTCCAAACCATATATATTAAGGATGCGTTTCTACTGTTGCATCTCCAGCATCTTTCAGAATTTATCAGTTTCTTCCTAAATAACTGTTGTGGGGTCCAATATATTTTAAATAATTTTTTTGTTGGATTAATATCAATTTCAAATCCAGGAAAACATTTTTATAGATTCTAGTAAAGTTTTCCATTCCTTAGCTTGAATTTTACTTTCCTATTCCCTGTTCCATATTTCTTTATGTTTTTGAATATCTATTTTATAAAAGTCGATTAAGTATTTATAAACTGTAGTTATTGGTTTAGGTTTCTCATTAGATCCAATAATTGCCTCAGTCTGGGAGATTCTGAGGCACTCATTGCAGATGGGCCAAATACAGACACCAGAAGGTGTTAGAGTTGAAGATCTTGCCATTGTGTAGTTGCACATAAATTGTATTTAGAATGTAGAATAGAAAAAGATAGAAATTCATCATCTGTACCTATTAAGTGGTCTAAAGTGTATATACCACCTGGATATTTCAGTCGAGGTTGGTCCTTCTTGATATCTCAGTTGCCTTCAATACTGTCGACCACGGTGTCCTCCTGGGGAGGCTCTCCGAGCTGGAAATAGGTGGTCTGGCACTAGCCTGGCTCCGATCCTTCTTGGAGGACCGTCCCCAGAGAGTACAGCTTAGAGAGAGTGTATTGGCTCTGTGGAATCTTAATTGTGGGGTTCCGCAAGGCTTGATTGTCTGGGTCAGGTCATCGGGGGTTTGGGGCTTCATGTCATCAGTGCACTGATGAAACCCAGCTCTACATCTCCTTTTCTCCAACGACAGTGGGTGCCGTTTTGTCCCTTCAGCTGTCTGGAGGCAGTATTGAAATGGATGCAGCTGAATGGTCTGAGGCTAAACCTGGACAAGATGGAGGTCCTGAGGGTGGGTGGCTCTGGCATTGGTGGTTTGGGAAACTCCTTCTCTTTTGGGGGTGTGTCTCTCACCACGAAGAGTGAGATTCAGAGCTTGGGGTCCACCTGGACATGTTGTTGTTTTATTTTATTTTATTATTACTTGGAGTGTTGTTAGCTGCCCAGACTTCTGTCTAGATGGGTGGTTATAGATTACATACATACATGCATACATGCATACATGCATGCATACATGCATACATGCATACATGCATACATACATACATACATACATACATACATACATACATACATACATACATACATACATACATACATACATACATACATACCACATTCTATCCACTTTTTCTACAAAAAGGGCCTTTTCTCAATTCTTAGTATTGGATTTCCCCATAGAGTAGTTTTTTCGTGGGTATATGGGTGGAATTGTAATTGACAAGCTAATATTCTCCATATTTCCCTATTAATTAAAACGGAAGAAGATATATTTCCTTTTCTCAAAATGTATTTAGAAGCCAGAACAAACCATCCATATAGGTGTGTTAAAAAAAGCCATTTCTAGAATCACCCAAGACGGAGTATTCATAGTAATACAAATTACTTATTCCAAATACATTTTTGAAATATTCTATTAATTTTGTAAAAGTAAACTTGAGAAATATACAATGGAATAGCATATATCACATATATTATGTGTGGCAATATATTTATCTTTAATCTGTTAACATTGCCCCAGATACTAAATTTAAGTACAGTAGTGTCCATATTTCTAAGTCATTAGAAATATCAGTGATCAATTTATTAAAGTTAAGTTTAATCATCTGAGAAATATCCCTTGGAATTAAAAATATTAAATATGCTAGACCTCTGGACACTGATATAACTGTCATTTTTTGTACAATGCCAGTTCTTTATTATTACCCATTAGCATTAACTCTGTAATTAATTGTATATCCTGAGATTTTACCAAAAAACTCAATTATTTTCATTAATTCTGGTATAGATAATTCTGGTTTGTTAATACATCAAACTCAATTATTTTCATTAATTCTGGTATGGATAATTCTGGTTATTATTAATTCTGGTTATTCTGGTTATTATTAATACATAATAATAAATCATCTCCATATAAAGCTAACTTAAATTCAGCTTGCTCGTGGACAAAGCCGTGTATCATTCTATTCTATCTAGTGGCACATGCTAACGGTTCCAAACATATATCAAATAACAAGGGAGACAGGGGCAACCCTGTCTTGAAACAGAAATTGCTGTTTCTTGTCCTTGCCTGATGGATGAGACATACTTATATACACCCCCATTTGTTGAGCACTGCAGAAGGGAAGAAGGAGTGGAGTTTGCCATTTCTTTCCTCTCAGCTATTTCTCATATATTTACCTCCCATGCAAGCAATATCAATGAAACATTTAAATCTGTTGCGGCGCTAGTTTAAACTTTCCTGAACTCTGTTGGTTTTTGATACTAATGTATAGAAACTTTCTTAGAACACCCTCAATTCAAGCCATGCCACTCCCCCGGTCTACTTTCTATCTCTCCCAACAAGAACTTTGACATCTTTAGGTGGGGGTATTGTGGGCGGGGTAAACAAGTATCTACCACCATTCTCTGAAGTTGGCTCTATGTGTCCTCAGAGGGGAAGATACAATCTATCCCATGACTTCACGGTATGCCATGCCACAGACCTTAGGATTTCACTGACTATTGTATATTAAAATAAAACATATTTTTTAGATCCTCAAAAAACATAATTGAATGTGTTTTTAAAAACCAAGTTAAGTCTGTTAGTAAGCATGATTGTAGACAAAAACAGGGAAGTTGTAGCATCTGGTATGTGTGGGTAAGTCCCATTGAAAACTGCAGGTTTTAGCAGATGAACATTATAGCCAAAAATAACAGGTTTAAGTGAAATGGAAATCCACAAATTTGTGGTAATGTGTAGGGATAAGGAAAATTCTATTTTGCTGGCTGAATTTCATATTTTGCTTCTCATACAATGACCTTTAAAATTCAATTATTTTAAAAGCACAGAAGACCTTGAAAACAAATTACTAATCCAGGCTGTCTACAAAGAAAAACAGAGTAGACTAACAAAATCAAAGAAAGCATGTTTTGTAAGATTGAGAATAGAAGTGGCAGTGTGTGTATAGAGGCAGATGGTAAATATATGTTTAGATTTAGATTTATTAACAGTAAAAAGTAGTACAAGAGCTAGTCAAAATAGTCCTAGATTTTTACTTGGGATTTAGCATTGAATTTTGTTTCCAGGTTTCAGCTGAATGCAGTTTCAAATGAAGGCAGGCAGTTCACTTGAATGAAAAGTGCAGAAGAGATCCCATTTTCTTTTTTCCCTCCTCTCTAGCAGTGGGCAGCCCTTCAAACGTTTGATCATCCTGACTTTGTACATTGCGGGACTGAACTCAGCTATGCCAAACATCCTCTTAGGAAGTTGACATTTGTGCAGTTTCTCAAAAAAGGGGGAAGAATGAATCCCAACTGTTTCCTCTTACCCTTTTGATTGAGAGCACGGCAAGTCAGCAGGAGAGGTGTGGTTTTTAACAAGGAGGGGTGTGCAGGAGCTGATTCCAGTTCTTCTAAAGGCTAAACAGAAAGAAAAAGGAAGAGACTGATATGAAACAACACTTATCAGACGTGATTATGGGAAATGAATGGATTCGTGGGTGAGGACAGATATAAAAAAGAGATTAGACAGTAGAAGGGAAAGTTCTACTCTTAGGGAAGGAAATTATTTTTGTAGTTCAAGAGGTCCAATGGATTTGTGATTCCCCACCCCCCTACCCCCTGTAGCTTTTCCTTTTTAATTGCAGATAAATAAG